TTTTTTTTTTTTTTCAGAAAAATATTATCTACAGTTGAGCTTGTTTTTAGTGGGTAAGCTTGCAATCACCGCAGCGTTCCAAGTTTTATACTTTTTCACTTCGGAAATATTTCCCACGAACTTGCGCAACAGTTTGATGTCTTTTTGCTCGATGGTTGGCCGTTTTGGTTCAATGGTAGCGCCACAGACGCCTTTGTTGGTAAGTTTAAAGTGGAAAGCAAAAAGCAAACAGAGTTTACGCCAACACCGTAATCTATTAAAGGCTGAAGTGGCGTGCAACCAATATTTATTATTTTATTTTTATATATAAACCAAGAGATCTGTCTATAACTAAGTATCGAAAACACTTTTCTCGAGAAAGTAAAATTAGAAACAACTTATAATGGCCGCTTTCTTAATATGTGTCTCGTTAAGTTTTGGTTAAAACAAAAACCGTACTTTATTAAAGGAAGAAGTTTTGAAACTAATCAGAACTTATCTGACTGCTAACCTGATATTGAAAAAACAGTCCTAAGTCTTATGATTTAGCTAGCTTACCGGATGGAACATGTATATATATCAAACTCCGGTTTTACTTCGACAGCCCTCCCTAAATTATTTAAGTAGTTCAAAGTGTTGAACTTTTCTCAAATATGATTTAATCTTCAACTATTTTGCTCATTTAATTTTAAATATCGTTTCTTTTCTCCTTTTAGGCTAAATATTATGAGAATGTGCCAGCCATAATATTTGCCGTTTGTGCTCTAGTCAGTGGTTGTTTGGCGCTGCTCTTTCCAGAAACTTCAAATACAATATTACCGACGACAGTGCACGAGGCGGATAAAATTGGCAATAGTAAATCGTCGGAAAACCCAAACAGCAGCAAGTTTAATTTAGATAATGAAAGTACTTATATGTAATTAGTTATTTAAAAAGTGTATTGATTTAGTAATTTTAGAATAAAAATGAAATTGTATGATATAGGAAGTAAAATAAAATGTTTAATTTATATTGTTGACAATAGACTCGTTAAAATTAAAAAAGGACATGGTAAATAGACTTTAAGACGATGCCCTAATTCAGTCAATAAGAAAATTAACGAAACCAATAGGAATAAAGAAAATTGGTTAATTGACTTAATTAAACTAATACGCGAAAAACAGTCAAGTCAAAAATGTTATTTTTGAAAAAAAAAAAAACCTGGTAACAGGGTACAACTTTTTTTTTAAGTTTTATTATAAAAAGCAATAAAAATGAATTACAAAGTTATTTAGCAGATATTTACAACATCAAGAATAAACAATGACGAAGACGTATTTTAAGTAATAATTTGAAAGAAATCTATGTTTATTAATATATATACATACATACACATACACACTTTAAATTTATCATCACTAATATCGGGATTTATGAAGCCGTTAACTTACTAAGGCAGCATTAGATAGAAAACAATACAATTGCTTCCTTTATGAATTAAGCATTAATCAGTTAACTATATAGACTACACAATAAACAATATTTTTAACTAAAATTGGACCAAGAAATTTGCTCACAAAGGCCCCCATTTTATATGTCACACAAAGCATGCGCGGCTGATCGAAGTGCTTAAAGAGTAACATATTTTTAATTTATGTCAAAATTGAAATTTGTATCAATTCAATTAGACATACTTGCTAACCCAATTCGAAAACCAGGCATGTGCCTCGAAAAGCATCCTCGTTGGCATTGAGCTTATGCTGCACCAAATACGCGCGTTCGGCAGTCAAGGAAGTTATTTTAAGCAATGACTTGCGTTAACTGTAACTGTAATTTTTAGCATGTGAGTTTTTTACCGCTTGAAAGCGCAGTGAAAGTCTTTAAACTGAAAAGTGCACATTTTCTAAGTACTGCATTGTGCAGACCGGCATTTGTCGATAACCTCTAGTTATTTGGCTTTATACTAAATTATATATAATGTATTGTACGTGTTTCCGTCCATCATAAGCAAAGTTCAGGAGATATTGTGCCATTTTTTTAACAAAAAATTAAATTAAAAACAAAATTACTTTCAGTGATAAGATTTGTATGTGACTCGGTAGTCGTCAACAATGCTAATTAAATTTAAGAAGTAAATATTCAAAAACTTTTTTTTTTAAACAAATAGGGTGGTCGTCTGCGCCCACGTCAATTTATAATATGTGGCTGCCCTTTGCGTAACAAGAAAGTCAGATCTTTCAAATTTACCTCGCCTTAAATGAGTTTACTCAATTACGATGTGATCAGTTTATAAAGCCTTTTCCGTTTCAATGTTGTTAAAATGTTGAACTATAGAAAGAAAAATCTTCGAACACGAACGAGTTGAAGACATCTCATGTCATATAATATATTTTCATAACAAGCATAAATGGACTGAATAATTTCTGAAGACTCATTGAGTCTTGAATGAAAGTGGGTAGTTTTCCAAGGCACTGATAACTCATAAGGCATGGACGCCACGCCAATTAGCACAATCATTTTTTAATTGCATATGTTTGTGAATCTGTTTGAATTTTAATTAAATACGATTTTAGCACATCTGTTCCAGAATGCACCACGTAAACATAAATGGCCGCTGACCATAGCATTGAATCCATGGGCTTTGATAGTACGAGTATTATCACACCGAATATGTATGTATATGTAGCACATGCAAATAAACTCGCAGAAATAGACATACATACATACCTAAGTTAAAGCTGCTCTCACCTTAGTGAAAAAAGCGTAATATTAAGACAACACATGCACTTTTTTAATATTCAATAAGGCAGACTGAAATACTAGCATGGTCAAAAAGGTCACGCAGAACCGACGATTGGCATCAATGCTTTCTTCATCTGCACGATAGACAAAAGCTGTTCGCCTACTGATAACAGCATATGTATATAAAGGCCTCTACGTCGTCGAAGCAGCAACAGTCTTTAGGCATTGGAGCTGAGTATCTAATCCGGAGCAGTTTTCGCAATGAAGTTAACTATCGTTCTTTTGGCTCTTGTTGGCCTAGTGACCGCCGCTAGTGTTTCATCGATCAAGAAGTCTCCCGTAGCCGATCATGTTTTCTTGGAGAAACAGAAGTTCCTCTTCGAAATCGTTTACCGTGTGGAGGATCCACTGATGTTCGAGGAGTACATCAAGTTGGGCCACACTTTGGTCTACGACAAGGCACTTTACACCGTAAGTTTCAATTAATAACCATCACTTATCCCTAAATGAAGCTAATATTATATATACTCTTGGCGTTTCTAGCACTTCGATCAATATATGGAGAAATTCTACGAGTCTTACAAAATGGGCGCTCTATTGCCTAGAGGTGAATTCTTTGGTGCCCTCGTTAAAACTCACCACAAGCAAGCTTATGGTCTCTTCAACTTCTTCTACTACGCCAAGGATTGGGAAACCTTCCAAGCCAACGTTGCATGGGCTCGCAACCATGTCAACGAAGGCATGTTCATCTATGCTCTGACTTTGGCTGTCATCCATCGTGATGACTTCAAGGGTCTGGTACTACCATCCATCTACGAAATCTTCCCACAATATTTCCTCAACAGCAAACTCATATACCAAGCTGAGAAATTCGATTACAACACCTGGAGCAAATACAGTCAATACGAGAAGGAATTGCTCGACGTCTACCACAAAACCAACAGCCACTACAACCAGGGTTATTTCTATATAAAGGACTTCAAGACCTACCAATGGTGGAGACTTATGGGTTTGGACGAGCAGTGGTACGCTGCCGAGAAGAACTTCCCTCTACGTGAAAACATTTACGAAATTGTTTCTGATGATAAATATGTGTCCTTCATGAAGAATATCAACATGTTCTGGCATCCGGTTGATTACACACGTGACATTGACTACTACAACGAACACTCTGCATTGTCATACTTCACTGAAGATTTGGGTTGGAATTCATATTGGTACTACTTGAACATGGATTACGCGTTCTTCTTGGATGGAGAAACTTTCGGTTTGAATAAGGATCGTCGTGGTGAATTGTGGTTGTACAATGTTGACCAAATCCTGAGTCGTTACTATATGGAACGTTTGTCTCATGGTTTCGGTGAAATTGACGATTTCTCCTGGAATCATGCTTACGAATACGGATATGATTCCGAATTGATTTCCTATAACGGTGTTGGTTTCAGCACTCGCAGCAACTATTTCGAACGTAGATCGTATGGCAAATACGACATGTTAAACCAAATTCAAAGCGCCTTCAAGCGTATCTACGATATCATCGACTATGGATACTATACCACCGCTGATGGACACAAGATCGATATACGAAAACCAGAATCTATTGAGCTCATCGGAAGTTACATTCAATCTAATATCGATACTTTTGATAAATTCTTCTTCAGCTATTGGAATATGTTGAGTCATATGTACCTCGCTGATGTAGACTACAACGACTTTGAGGTATATCCAAATGTTTTCCTCAACTTCGAAACCATGTTGCGTGATCCAATGTGGTACAGCTTCTACAAAAAAATCACCGATGTTTTCTATCGTTTCAAATACCACTTCACACCATACACACAAGAAGAACTCGTTGCTCACGGAGTTCAAGTCAAGGATGTTAGCATTAGTGAATTGGTCACCTATTTCGATTTGGTTGATATTGATGTTACCAACCTGTTGAACGACAAAATGGTTTTCGATGATGGTAAATTCGTATGGGACAAATCATTGTACGCTCGTCAAATGCGTCTCAACCACCAACCATTCCACTATGATGTCACTGTCGAATCGGACAAGGCACAGAAGGTTGTTCTTCGCACATTCTACGGTCCTAAATACGACGAATATAGGCGTATTCTTTCGCTGAACGATAATCGCATGAATTTCATTGAATTAGATGAATTCGTCTATGAATTGGTCGCTGGCGAGAATATCATCAAACGTTCATCTGAGGAATTTTACTGGACTGTGAAGGATCGCACCACCTACACTGAATTGTATCACTATGTGATGGCTGCCTTCGACGGCAAATACGAATACCCTGTAGAAATTAGCGAATCACACCGTGGATTCCCAGATCGTCTGCTCTTACCTAAGGGTTGGGAGAGTGGTCTACCGGTACAGTTCGTATTTTACATTACTCCATACGTTGGCTCTATCGAACAACCCTCAAACATTGATGTCACCTACCTTTCTGGCATTGGCACGGGATTACGTTACGTTGATAACAAGCCATTCGGATATCCATTCGATCGTCCTATTGATTTATCTGAATTCTTCGTGCCCAACATTTATTTCAAGGATGTGAGCATCTATCACAATGACACACTGAAGCAATACTACGAGAACTATAAGAACTACGGCCATTTCGATTACAACTTCTACAACGAATACTACACCAAATACTTCAACTAAATCGAGCTGGCTGTGGAATAGAAATATATCATGCTTTTTTAGTTAATTGTTAGTCAACCAAACGTAAATGTAATAAAAATTAATGAAATCAATTGCTATGGCGATTAAAGTATAAATAATATCTTTCAATTATAGCATTTAAAGCGAAATCAAACGGGACGGCAATATACATAAGTCAGACCCCACTATTATTGATATTTTTCTTAATATTGATACTCTTTTAATAAAAAAGAAACAGCATATACTACTACTCTGATATGAGGCTTTAGGTGGAAAGGCATCAGGTATAAGTCTCTTAAGAAAGCAGAAAGAAAAAATAATAAATAGATAAAGAAGTTTGAGTGCAGGAAGTAAAGTATAACAAGGTGTCAAGCAATACTATAAAATGAGACGAATTTAGTAGATCCGGATATAATCGTTTGATGGAAAGTGAATGTGATACCTTCAGGGGCGAAATCGGAGCATAACTTCTCGAAAGAAATACCTATACCGACATTTCTAAATGAAAGTAACCATACATGAAGTCTAGTAAGAAAAAGTCCTCTTTTTTTTAGATGGATTTAGTAAATCATAT